TATCTAATTGCATGTGACTTATTGAAAAAAAAAGTAACCTTGTGTGCTGTAGTAAAAAGAGACTTCAAAGCCAATTTGTAGAGTTTTGTATTTATATACGTCAACCCAACAGAGACAAAAAAAAAAAGAAAAAAAGAAGTGAGACTATGCTGTAAATCCGAATCACCTGAGACACACAGTTTATGTTCAAGCTGCTGCTAAACTGTTATAAAGATGAACTTTGAGTGCTTGATGTCCCTGTCAAATATATACAACTCAGTTTGACAGGATCTGAAAAAGTACTGGTGTTGGAGTGCATGTCAAGTATCTTATAACTTGGCATCGCTTCATTCATACTGCACAAGGTCAAATCAGCCGGTGCACTGAACGAAGAAGGATCTTGCTCGACTTTCTTTTCCTGGTTTGCAGCAGTCTTTGACCAGGATCCATTTCAGCCACTACAGGCAGGCTTCTGGCTTTCACATCAGCGAGAAAAGAGAATGAGGGGGGAATGTTTGACCTTTTTCGGTGCAGAGTCTGGAAAGTGATATGTGATTCAAATGTGTCAGGGAGAAGAAAAAAATGAGGAGAGGCGGAAAGCAAAGTGAGAGAGCAAATTACAGTAAAAGTGAAGGTATAAAGACAGAAGAGGCATTTCTTATAAGGGATATCTCGCACTGTTGGCATCTTGAAAGTCTAATCCACCCAGGATATCTTCTTTGATCAAGCAATGTGCCAATCAATGTTCAAAGGATTATTATGAATGGCATTATACCTCTCAAATGCCACGCGTCAAGCAGCAAAGGATGTGCTGGCTGCATGAAAAATGCCTTTAAAATGGTTTCGCAATAATTAGGAAAAGCTCAGCAGCAACCATGGGATGTCTTTGGGGTTGCCATATGGTGAATCAAAAAATTACCTTGAGCAAGCATTTACATTTTGACTCATAAGCCCACAGCTGTAAAGTTGTGTCCCTGCACATATCAAAGCACCTTGTTACTACCTTGTAAAACGATACAACACAAGTTCCTTGAGGGAATTCAAAGGTTTGATTCCACTGAATCCCTTTCAAAGAAAGTGATAAACATTTCCTATCCACTTGCATGTATCGAAACTTTTAAGTTGGAGATGCCTGATTAGGAGCACTGATTAGTATTCAGGGTCCACAGCATGTGTGATGCCAATTATCCACTGGGTCATTACCACTCTTGAGAGAAGTCGCACTGGCAAAAGGGTTTTAAGGAAAAGGGCCTAAATTTTCATCAGCAGTTACAGTGGCTCTTTGGTGGTATTGACAAGGAACAAATGAAACCGATATCAGGCGGATACAAACACAAAAAAAGACTCAGCTAAACTTTGCTAATAAAAAAAAAAAGGTTACTTTCTGTTTCTACATGAAAGAAACAAAGCATTTTTTGCATCAAAATCAAAATGTAGCACAACAGTCGGAGACTCTGGCAATGAGTAAAACACCTCAAAATGTTTGATTATTGCACACGTCCAGTTTTTAGTGCACATTTGCTTAGCTGGCAGGTGGTACAGCCTCACTAGCAGCAGGATTCAACTCATGTGATAATAGTTCTACTGATGTTTTTCTCTGAGTCAGCTGATTAGAGGAAGTGAGGTGGGAAGCAGAGAGTAAAAAAAAAAATCAGTATTCATTACAGTTATTGTTTTTTTTTTTGTTTTTTTTTAAGACAATGTACTGTATGCTTGTTCATTCATTTTAGATGTTACAAGGGATTTGGACAATTAGATTTCTTCTGGCTAAACTATTTTGCATAAATTCGACCATGCATAGACTGTGGAAAAAGACAGCACCAGAGCAGCTCTCACACTCTAAAAGGGCCTCCTTATTAATGTTTCTCACACTGCACAATTTTTCTCACCTGGCCAAAACAGAGAATAACCTCAATTGTGTTAAAGTGTAACGAGTGCATTATGAGACATAAACTTTCTTCTGACCAAAAACTATTATTTAAAAAAAAAAAAAAATCTTTGTGACTGTAAACAATATTTTCAGTGAGAACATCCTCATAGCTAGAACACTCTTCTTACTCGGAATGATATTATTAAGTTGTCATTTTTGAAAGGTTACCTCAATTTCTAGTGTTTGCATGAGGAAATTATTTCTTTGCATAAAAATGGGAGCTTTCAGTTTAATTAAAAAGGGCCTAATTACAGAAAAACCCCACCTCAACCTTCCACGCTGGTGTCGGTCTTCAGCCGTGTTTTGCTGCTTCGTCTTACTTTCGATCCACGCAGAAGTTGTGACACCAGCTGTTTACATTTTCCAGCTCCAGCTCCTCAGACCTTGTTTAAGTTAGAAAATACATAAATTACCTGTTTGACCTTGTACTTTAATGGACACGGAAGATAAACATATTTGTTCCTTGTATTATTCATGAAGCCAATTCAACAGCATGAACAAGTCAATAAGTCAGTGTGTGAATCAGACCAAGGTGAATAGTGTGATTGACTGCACTTGGTATATGGGGAATCATAAGGCCTTAGGTTTGGACACTTCCCTTAGGCTCTCTCTTCAATGTGAAATTGTAGGAGGTGCACCACAAGACCTAGAGCATATATTAGCATACTACATTATTCATCACTTGTCAGTAACTTGACTGGCAGAAACATTAGCTGCAGCCAGTTCAAAACAGACTAAATAAGAAGATAACAAACCTGGGAGATGGAGTAAATTTGGAATTAGGAGCTGTGCCATTGCTGATGTGCGAGTCAAGGTCATGTGACACTCCATTCATCTTAAGGCGAAATAAATAAGATTTTACTGACCCATGAAAACCCCAAACGACCGCATTACTGGTGTGTGGAGTTCTGATGGAGCTGATAATCAATACCAGTGTCTGAACAATTACTCCCGACAAGATGTGGGGATTTCTGTCTTTTTCTGTCCAAATACTGTGTAATCACCTCTGTGCTAACACCCCGGAGACCTAGAAATGTTGTAAATCCTTACTAAACTGAAGCATATTTCTTGTTTTTCCAGATAAAAACCCAAGACGCACAAACTCCCAAGCGAGCACGTAAAAGCAGGTGATGAGTTCCTGATGACTCCAGCCGGCCAGCAGAGCAAGAAAGTGTTCCACCACCGTAGACGGTTATGTTGTCACTTTTCCCCTCTACATCAGGGTGTCAGACTTTAAACCGAAGTGACAGATCGCTCCTTTAGCTGCTCTCTCCCAGGCTAAGGACACCGATGACTGGATCCAGAGGCAAAGAAAAAGGTCAGGCCACCGGGTTGGGTTGTGCTAATGGACTGCTGACCAGGCAATAAGCCAGCCTCTCAGGAGACATTTGCAGGCTAGTTCTCACCTTAACAGTGTGGGGTCCCATGTCCTTTGCATCACTTGGTTCGCCATTTGCCAAGCAACTGGGGTTCATTCTCACTTTTTGTTGTCTCTTCGTTCGCACATTGCCACTTACTGACTCACTCCTTGTGTCACCTACTCTGTGGTCTGCTCTCAGGGCAACGTCGAGGAGCTTGAACCAAAAGTCTTAATTCAGAAACGTGTGTGGTTGAAGATGTAAAGCTCTAAAGGAGGGGAAAAAAAGGCATTTGTGAAGGTCCACCTCAAGATGGCAGTGTTCACCATGACAGGCTTGGAGCTCAACAGCTTGTCTTTCTCAGCAGCAGCAGCAGCAGCACAGCCAGAGAGAGCCATGGCTTAAATTGAGGGTTATCTACTGCATTGAAATTAAGTAATGATTGGATGGCAGTAGGTATTAAATGACGGCTGGATCTGTATTTCCATTTTATTAAATCTGCCTATTTCCTAGTTACCTTGTGTCACTTCTGACATTGTCATTTTCTCCCCCCTGTCTGGAGCTATACTGAGCACAGCTCAGTCTTGTTGCTTGTTGAAACTTGCCAAGTAAGATCATTTAGGAAGAATACAAAAAATCATCCTCAAAATCATCGCCGCTTCAAGTCAATAAACTTAAAAAATAAAAGAAGAAGAAATGCAATTGCACTCCATTACACCCCCAAAAAAGAAGAAGAAGAAGCTCGCACCGCTGTGGAGCTTTGATGACTAGGATAACTGTCAAGGTTATTTCTAACGGACAAATGCTGACGACTGGCTGCACGGTGCTAAGTGTGGCGGACAGAGCGTGAATATGCAGCCTCCGCGCAAACATGCTTAGACAACGGATTCTCTGTCCGGAGCGCAATTATAAGTGACTCTCACACAAGGCTTGTATTGTATATGGTCAGTGTTTATTCTTGGCAAGTCGATACCCTACGTTAAAAAAAAAAAAAAAAAA